AACACACTTCTCTCACATTACCGGTTCACACACGATTGCGTCACAAATGCGTGCCAGTTTCTGCGGCCTTGAAAACGCGATGTCAATGTCATATGATATCCTTCCCTTTATTTTTTTTATGTTGCTCGCATTTGCAGTTTGTCATCTTTAATGTAACTTAAAACGAGAGAAAGAGAGAAAGAGTCGCTTCATTTTTCGGTTAGGTTACTCCGAATTTTCTGCCGACAACGATACGTCCTACATCCGAGGGGATACAAAACGTACGATATGAAACGTTAATACCGAACACGTGCTGCTCATTCGAGAGAGAATAATTTTCTGCATAGACGGCACTGATAAGCGCTTAGAGATCGTATATGAAAGAACGTCGTTGTATCTCTTCGTCAAATAACACATTAACCGATTAAGCTTCGAATTTAAGCTGTGCACACACGTACCGATGCGCAATCCGGTCAATAACAAGATAATAATGTACGAATTAATTAATTTTTGGCAAATTTACAATCGCGTATTTATTCATATCATTAAAATTTGTTCAAGGAATAATGTAAGCATGCTTATCATGCTTAAACAGTTATTTCTGTTACAAGATTTGAATAAATGCTAGACTTTTAAATGCCATCTCCGACGAGTAAATCTTAAGGTCACGACGATAAAATCATCACTATCAGGGAAGATTTCCACTATTGTGGAAATTCCTTCGAGAGACGCGATGATGTTTCACGAACCGAAAATACGGCGTGAATTACCGTAATTTTAACGCGACCTTTGACCCGAGGCATCAAGAGAGGAAGAATGTTTTCGCGTCCAGACTTGAAGCGTATTTTCCGCGTTAGCGCAGTAAAATGTTATATTCATGTCACGTGCCTAATATGCAATTCAAACAAAGTTCTGTCTCACGGCTTACGTTGCAACAATTTGCGTGCTTGTAACATTTATGAATCATTCGCGTCACAACATCTCATCTACGTTATATAATAAAAAGTCATGTGTCGTGCGATAGCGAGCAAGTTACACGTGGGAAGTATCTTCGAAATTAACATCAAAAATTTTTCACGTCGAAATATCGACATTTAATTGATCAAAAATAGGTTAACTGTCTTGGAATATAACGCGAATCATGTCAAACAACACCTACGTAGATTATAATATAGTCAGATTTGAATTATTAAGAGAGGCGAAGACGTCAATTTAGAGATTGAAACGTATATTTACGGAAATACGCGAGCATATTTCGCGGCGTGTATTTATTAACTCTACTCCAATTTTATCCACGAAGAAAATTTAGCCCGAGGATCCGCGTGCCAGAATCGATCGCATCTCGCGAGAGGCAACATTCGCGTTATGTTCATAATTTAAGTCGAGCACGTGGTCGACCCGAGTGCCGCCGATAGAATAAAATGAGATTCGTCAGCATTTACGATGGCACACGTGGCAACGGTAGAAAAGTCACGCCAAGGCTCTTATAGAGCTGGCCTTCGCCGTGGCTCAACAGACTAAACTATCGAATGTCTGAAATTGTAGCTAGCCGACCTAGCGCGATAACTATTCGTCGCAATTATGCGTTGTCTTTCTCTCTCGCGATTACAGAAGTCGAATAAATTACTTCCGCCGCAATCGGATTTCCTAGAGAATGCGCTTGAAAATAATTTTTATTTTTCACGAATAAAAATAAATAATCTATTGAACTATATCAAATAATTTTTAGGCAGGTATTTAAATATTAAACACATTAGAACATCAAAATATTTAAAATATTGTCTTAATCTTGTTTTCTTTATCTTCCTTTTTCCTGAAAATCATTAATTATGTTATCACTTTTTCAACATATTCAAAATTGAATGAATTATGGATCGTCCAATTTAAAGAAATTATAATTTTATCAGAAATTATAAATGTTAAAGTGTCATAAAAATTTTTATTACGATTTGATTATTCAAATCGTAATAAAAATGCAATAAGAGCTTACTCAGCAGGAAGCATCGATCAAAATGAAATATGAGAAAAAAGTGAAAAAAAATTATTCTAATTCTGACCCAGCATTAAAAAAAAGGAGCATAAAGATAAGCAGATTTATCCTATGATTTCGTAATTGCACTCTCCTCTTTAATTCGCGTCGGACAAACAGGAAATTCCAGTATAAATTAAGAGATCTAATCGAGAGTAAATAAATTGCGTAATCTATCGGCCAATAATAAATATATGATGTACGATAATTATTTTCGTTCTTGTAGACAGAATTTGTTTCTTGTAAAAGAGAATTTTTATGGCGAATTTCTAATTTCTCGTAAACTAAATAAAGCAGATGAAAATAGATATAGATTTGCAGTGGTTGCCGAGAAAATTGTGGTGGCGAGTTCAGTGATAAAAGTATACGGCATGACACGGGCGGATCGATGCAACTTTTTCCACTTACGCGATTATCTCGTTTCACCACTCACGATAAACGACAAGTCCAAGACGCGCCGTTAAATTGAATAATAACGAGAAAAAACCTTTCTCTCAAGCTTTTTTCTAATAATACATTTATTTCATCGGCGCTTTCGCGATAAACGGATGTAAGAATATCCGACGGAAATTTGACGAATTGATCGACACGATGTAATGCGATGTAATGAATAATGATAGTGAGAACTGCATGAAAATTAGCTATCTATGCCCCCGTATAATATTCGTTGGTTAATAATTACAGCGATATATGTATCTTCATAAAGTATTCAAATTATGACATAATTATGGTTACATTTCCAGTATCATTTGACTTTGTGTGTGTGTATCCCTTTAAACATAAATCATATGATTGACATATCCTGTTCTATAGTACACATAATACACACGAATAATTATTATCATTAATAATATTATGTACGGCTTTTCATTGTTACAATTCCACATTTCAAAATATGAAATACAAAATAACAAATAATATATACAGTGTTATGCGTACATCACGTATTTCTATGCGAAATCTATATATATATATAATTATATATAAATGATTTGTAGGTCATTATATATATATATATATATATATATATATATATACATATATATATATAATGACCTACAAATCATTTCAAAAAAATAATCATAATCACATGATCACGTATTAAGATCGCAAAAAAACAGTATCCGCGAAATCAGAAATCACTTCATATAAATTTCTTTCATCGTGTCACTTTTATTATTATTGTGCGATCACATGATTACGAAAAAAAAATGTAGCGAAATTCACTCACTCTAGAGATGCGCAGAGGTTGATGTGTGTCGCATCCACCGTGCATGCGAAAGCCCCAGGGGGATCCGCCGTAGAGGGTGACTTCTCTGGCGCTCATCCCGCGTCGACAGGCAGCACCGCGTCGTTGACACACGCATCCGAATTTCCCGCGTCTTATCTACGCGTACTTCGCATCGCGAATCGCGCCGAATTCAGAGCGAGGCGAACTCGCGTCGGCGTCACGTACCTACGAAGATCGCACGTAATCTGTTATCTGTCGCACTTATCAAAATTTCCCTCGCGACGAGGGCAGAGGAGCGAGGACGAAAACCGGGCGCGCGAAACGCGTCGTCGATAACAGCGACGACGACGACGACGACGACGTATGGACGCGATGACGCCCACTGACGGAAAGCACAACGTTAAATCTCGCGCGCGCGCACGCGCGCGACCCGCACTCGTCCGTGGCTCGCGTTGAACTGACGGCGGCGCGCATCCTCCCTGCCCCACTCCTCCGCTGCCGCGTACGCCGTAATTCGCGCGTGTATCCGTCCCCACCACCGCCGTGAATCTCGTGCGCGCGCCGTCCGTGGTGGGAGGAAGGGCGCGTGCTCGCCTTCAGGACCGCTTCCCTTTGTTTTTATACTTGTCGCATGTTCCGATTGCTCGCTTCTGTCGCTTTCTGCAACTTTTTATGGATCATTTAAAACATTCGAGTTTTCGATTAATTATTCGTGAAGTACTTCTTTTTCTGAGAAAAAATCCATTAGAAGGCAGCCGGAAATTACGAATTTTGCGGGGAGCTCATAGATCCGTTCCTGTATCTTTCCCTCTATTCATTTTTTTTATCTGCCACGCGCTTACCTGGTCGTGATAATCCCGCGTACGCGTTTTATCGTGGTTCTCTCACACGTCGAAATATACTCTCGGGACATTTTCACGCCCGATCAACTATTTCTCCTTTTTCAAGTATCTAGAATGGAAGAATTCATTGCACTCTTTTTATTCCTTAGCAATTCTACGATGATTCGCTTTTCTTCTGCCAAAAGGGAAGCGGTCCTTTTCCATGATATCCTAAAAAGTAAAACATTTTGGTTAGATTTAGTTGTAAGATCAAAAAAGCAAAATAAATATTCACATGCATAAACTTTTTCTCCTAAATTTTTTTTACTTTATATACACATATATATATTATAGTTATTTTCGTACAAGCATCATAATATATTTTATAATACATATATCTATAGTAAAAGATTAGAAGTGATCTTGGAAGCCATTGTCGCAAAATTAAACGAAGGAAAGGAAGATAGATTTCATGCATTTTTGATACACATAAATAATTCTTCCTATACATTAGAACCAAATCCAAAATTTTCTTGTTTTTACTATTATATAACTGTTTATAATTGAGTACCTTGTACAGTGTGCAGATAGATATATATTTCCGAGTATTTGGGCACGAAGAGACCGAAGAACTCGCAACAATAAAATGGCGCTAAAAATTAAAAGAAATATGGCGGCAATTCAACATTAGTGACATCTTCAAACTACTCCACGAAACTTGAAACAGAGTTGATTTACCAACATGCGGTCAATTGAGGATGAAGAATTATATCTCTCCTTCCTTTTTATTATTAAATTTTAAAAAAGAAGAGAAATAACGTAAAAATTTCTTTAAAATTTAAATTAAATTTGATTTTTAAAAATTAATTAAATCTGACAATGAGAGTAAAATTCAAAACCATGACAGAGACAGAGAGTATGATAGAAAGAATATGGCAGCGTTCTCTTCTCAACACGTGTTTGTTTGACACTCAAGATATTCGATTTTTAATAAACGCAACAGTTGTATTTGGAAAAATAATCTAATTTATATATATACTAGATGTAAAGTATATATTAATCATAAGCGATAATCACAGATTTTTTCCAAACGCACTCGCAATGTCTGCTGATAATATTACTCTTCCAAATAAAAATTTTGCCAAACGAAAATATCAAAATAATAAAAATCGCAATAGGAGATCCGAATGGAAAGGTAATTTATCGTTTATTGCAGCAGTAAATATTTGGTATGACTCTACAGCTGTTAAAAAAAGATTATTCTTGTTAAGGTGGTTGCCAGAACAATTCTGACCGAAGAGGCTTTAAACGCAATTTTGATCAATCATCAGAAGAAAATGCAAAGAGGAACAAGTTAGACGTTGGCATTAGACTGAAAGAATGTGATTTAGGAATTACCGAGTACATCAGCAAACATCCTGGTTTTTCTGCAATAATTAAAGAGAGATACACTGATTTCCATGTTAATGAGATAGATCTCGATGGACAAGTAGCTAAACTGACTCATCAGAATATTCCAAGTGATTCAAATGAGAATATAAATATCGAAGATCTGAAAACAATGATATCATCGGTGATATGGGATCAACTGCAAGTTCTCAAGGAAAATCCTTCAAGTACAATACAAATTGATGTAACAAATATAGACAAAACTGAACGCAGAATCATTCATACAATTGCACAAAATTTAGCAAATGTTATTAGCCAAACAACAGTCGAGGATGATAAGAAATTTATCACGATTATTCCTAAAAATACTAAAACTGGTAAGTTCTTGAGATATTATATAAATTAGTTTATATCTAATTTATATAATTTTTAATTTCTCCTGTATCACAGATCACAAAGTACGCAAAGACAACAGGATAAATTGGAAAAACCGTGATGGCGATTATTGTCACTTTCTATTGCATAAAGTGAATATGGATACAATCGATGCTTTAAATCAATTGGCCATAAATCTGCGAATACAGCCCAACAATTTTACTTATCCCGGTACAAAAGATCGTCGAGCATGGACGACTCAGTGGGTGAGTTTGAAAAGAGTAGATGCACGTGACATATTGAGAGCGAGTAAAAGAACGCATGGCGCATATGTAGGAAATTTTAAATACGCTAAAAACAGTTTAAAATTGGGCATGTTACGTGGCAATCAGTTTAAAATAGCATTAAGAAATGTTTGCGGGACAGACGAAGAGATTGAGCAAGCGATGACATCAGTGCGCGATAATGGCTTCATTAATTATTATGGTTTACAAAGATTTGGTACAGTAGCTTCTATACCCACACACGAAATTGGAAAACGTTTACTTCAGGGTAATTATTATTGTTCTCTATATTATAATACATAGCAACATTTGATTTAACATACATATTACAATTATTTTATTTATTTAATTAGGTAAATGGCATGAAGCAATTGAATTAATTCTGAAACCGCGACCAGGAGAACAAGATAAAGAATTAGCAGAGGCTAGGCAGATTTATGCGGAAACCAAAGACGCCCATACCGCTTATGCTAAGATCAAAAGAATCGACAAGATTGAAGCCCGACTTTTGAAAGGTCTACAAGTGTCGGGTGAAAAAAATCCTTTAGGCGCACTTGATTCCATACCTCGAAATATTCGACTAATGTACATTCATGCTTATCAAAGCTTTGTTTGGAATCATATTGTGTCAAGAAGAATAAAACAATTTGGGACAAATGTAATTGTAGGTGATCTAGTTTATGATAAACAAAGCTGTCAAGAGAATGTAACTGATGAAATTATGAATTATCCTTTAAACGATGGTGATGTCAGAGAAACTGATGTTATCTCTTCTGAAGAAATAAATATCGATTCTGAAGCAAGTAAAACAAATGAAGAAAGTTTGGAGCAAAATAATTTTTCAGTAGTAAAAAGTCTTAAAGAAGAAGATTTACCAAATTATACTCTAGCTGATGTGGTTATGCCTCAACCTGGATGGAAAGTTACATATCCATCATATGCTAAAGCTTGGTATGGCGAATTTTTAGCAAAGGATGAATTAACTACTGATCTTAAACAAAATAATAAGTAAGTGTTTTTATCTGCAATTTTAATATAGCAATAAATTATTACTATAATTTGCTGTCCTTTCTAGAAAATACAGTTTAAGTGGTGCCTATAGAAAAATATTACAAATTCCAATGAAATTGTCTTGGAAAATTATGTATTATAAAAATAAACATGATAATCTGATTTTATCTGATATTGACCAAATGAGAAAGATTGCATCTCCACAAAATGATCCAGGTAAGCTGTTTTCATATTTATATAAAACATTTATTTCAAGGCATTTGCATTATATTTATATTATTTTTAGATGGAAAAAACAAAGCATTAATCATTGAAATGTCTCTAGAGCCCAGTACTTATGCCACTATGGGCTTGCGTGAAATTTTAAAAAATGATACTTCAGCAGAAACACAGGTTGCTTTATCTGCTTCTTATGATGCAGAGAATGTGCAGTCCAGTACAAGTACTGTAAGTGTAGTTGTATAAATAAAATTGAAAAAAATATAAAAGGAGAATTGAGTTCCAAAACGAACCTGTTCTATAAAAAGGAATAAAATAAGGAAAATTGGTGATGTGAAAAATATATTTTTAAAATATGTCAAAATTTAGTGTAAAAAAAAATTTATAAATCATTAATACATATATGCATCTAATATAAACATATGTATACATGTATTCTAAATAAAATTGTATTGATACATATATGTATTTTTTAATGAAACCAACACTAAGGATTAACTTATCCAATAAAAGATTTTAGATGAATAAGATTAATTTATTAGAAAATAGTTACTGTTCCTTTATAAACAAGCAGCCATCAAACCTGCCACATTTTCAAAATCAATTTTTTCAGTAATATTTTTGGTCTTTATATTTTCATCTTGATTTGCAATGAAAATTATTGTTTTGCTCTCTTCCTTCCAACCATACTTTTTCACCCAATGCTTCAATGTTGCCTCTGCAGAAACATTGATATATTTTATCATTGTGTAATATTAAAAATATGGAATTTTATTTTATGATCATACCATCCACACCACCAAGCAATTGTGCCAATAATACTTTATCTATTGTTTGAAACGTGATGCCAACTACATGACACACAAACTTTCTTATTGAATCTTGAAAGCCTACAATTCTATCGCAAAGTTCTGACATGGATAATACTCTGTCCCAAAAATGCTGAAAATCACATCGTTCCAAGATATCTCCCAGATACATGATTTGATTAATGGGACTTTCAGACATCTAGAAATGTACATAAAATATATAAATATATAGCGCATTTTCACAAAAAACCTATTACCTTATACTTTAATCAAACTTACTAGCTTTTCGCTGAGTAAACATTTGCACAACACAAAGTCTGTATGTGGAAGATTGGTTAAAGCCTTAAGTAATATCTGACAAGTAATATCCATATTAAATCGGTGTGGATTTAATTGATAGAGCTTCAAAACAGCCAAGTTTGCCTCCAAATCATAAGCATTCTCCCTCGATTGTATTTCCACATACTTCTCTAATGTTGTGAGGTTATCTGGATTGTATCTAAAAATATATATATTTCAATGTAGATAACAGATTAAAAAGAACAAAATTAATTAAAAGTTAGAAGAACAAATAAACATATGCGATATGTCTAATGAATTTTAATTCTTCATTTCAGTGCAATATATTTTCAAGAAACAAATTAGCAGTTCGTTAAAGAGATTATTTACGCAGACAAGGCACTACGGAAACAATCATAAGAAAGAAATATCCTACCTTTCGATGCCTTTAAGCATTCCAGCCACGGTTTGACGCATTGCTTCAGCCATTTTCGTCAATGAAAAATTTCAGACTGCAATAAAATATTATCGATGTCACTGAAATGTTTTAGATCATATAACCTCAACACACGCGCGCATGGAGGCCATAGAAAAAAAATTACAAGTATTACAAAATGGAAGGATGACATTTTCAAGTGGTCGAATTTAATAGCTCCAGGATAATTTACTAAATGTTATTGACCAATCACAGCTATGTTCCTGAAGAATGTATGGTTATATTCTTCCAAAGAATGGCTATGATTGATCAATGACGTCTAGTAAATTATCCTGGAGCGATTAAACCCGACGCCATTAAATAAAATAGAATTATAAATAAAATGGCTATAATATTATAAATAAAATAGAATTATTATAAATAAAATAGCTATAATATTATAATATGCGAAATGGCCGCTCTCAAGTTTTTCTTTGGAAAATCTCTAAAATATCCCTAATCTTGGTATTAGTAGAATGCGTCCAATTTTTGTACTCACCAGTGATATTTGCAACATGACAACAAACTGTCAAAGTAGGAGCTGACGAAAAAATTTAAAATACAAGAGAAATTATACAAATCAATATATTAAATATATGTAAAGCAATAACTATTTTCTGAAATATTGCTTTCCAGGTAATACCATTTGATAAGTATGGCTAAGCATCATCCAGATTTGATTTTCTGTCGTAAACAACCGGGAGTCGGTAAGTTGAGGTTAAGTATAACCTCTTCTCTAATAATTCGTGTAATTTGTTGTAATTGTCCAAATTGTTTTTCAGCTATCGGTCGGCTTTGTGAAAAGTGTGATGGAAAATGCGTCATCTGCGATTCCTATGTAAGACCCTGCACGTTAGTCAGAATATGTGACGAGTGTAATTACGGTTCTTATCAAGGACGTTGCGTGATTTGTGGAGGTCCCGGCGTATCGGACGCGTATTATTGTAAAGAATGCACGATACAAGAGAAAGATGTAAGCTTACTAAAAGAAAATATTGCGTACAATACAATTCTAAATTTTTATATGACAAATTATGATGCGATACAGCATGATTTATATTTCAATACATAATTTCAGAGAGATGGCTGCCCTAAAATAGTTAATCTAGGAAGCTCAAAGACAGATCTCTTTTATGAAAGAAAAAAATATGGATTCAAAAGAAGATAATCGTAAGACATTAAATATTGTACTTCTCTATATAATTTTTGTTTAATATAACATTGCATTAGATAATTATTTTTACGAAAATATATTATCATAAAATATTATCATAATAATCATGCATTTGCATTCTGTATTATTAAAATTATAGATAACTAATTTTATAATAAAACAAGTCTGCATGATGCTCTGTAAACTTGAACACAAATGGACCAATTTTGACAAAAAATAAATTTTAAGTATTAAAGTTCGCTAAAACAAAATATATCTCTATAAAGGTTCTCTAAAAAATGTATGATATAGTTATATAAAAGTATGTGTCACGGAATATATCTTTTATTATAGAATTGTCAAGTTATGTTATGTTAAAATTAATGGCGGTTCTTCAGATGGTGGTAACTCATTTGTTTCTTGCGTTTCTACAATTTGTCTTTTTATAATATTTCCTTTTTCATCGACTTCGTCAATAGATATTAAAATATTCGATATAACAGGCATGGATTTGCCAACATCACTATCAGTTATTTCTTCTTGCAAATCTTGTACAGTTTCTACCTCTTCCATATTATCTTCAACAATCTAAATTTTTATTTTTTTAAATAAAATTCTATTTTAAATAAAAGTCACAAATAATAAGTTTAGTTTAAATTACTGTACAACTTACTTTTACTTTTGTTAATGATGTAGTTTGATTCAATTCTAACTTGTATTTTTTATCCGGTAATTTGGCTTCTTTAACGAGCGATTCATTCTCTTCATCCACAGCCTCATATCTGACCATTTGAAGTCTATAACATCCATCCTCGTCCTGTGTATAATGGAAGCGTTTATGTCCACTTGGCAATTGCAATTGATGGGTTTCTATAAGATGTTTGGTCAATCTATAACTTTTCCGATATTTAATCGGACATTCGTGACAACAGTACCATCGCACTGCTAAGCCATGTACTCGTTCTACATGCCTGAAATAAATTTGTCAATTGCAATAAATAATTTCATAAAACAGCTTCCTTATTGAAGATATGTATAATTACCTATCCAAGGTGTAAGCTCCTTTGCATGTGTAAAGGCATCCTTCAAAGTGGCAAGAAAAATTCGGGCCATTAGTATGGACAGTCATGTGAGAATCGAGATCTTGTTGCGATTTTGCAGCGTGTGAACACAATTGACATGGAAACGTTCTAGTCGATACATGGCGATACCTGACATGTTTCGCCAAACTTGCTGGCGATTCACAGCTCATATCGCAAAGGGAACACTTATAATTAAACACATGAGATCTCATATGATCACGTAGGATTTTCTCAGTGGGATAAAACTTATTGCAGTGTGAACATTGGAATCCCTGTACTGTGAGTCATTGTATTTTAGACAAAATATACACAAAGTGCAAAGAAAATTTGAGATATATGAGATTAATTTATTACCTTCCAAAGGAATTTGTCGCTGGCAATGCGTGTGAAATTTTGTTTTAGAAGCAAAGGTTGCACCGCAGTCGGGACATGCGACTATTTTTTCTTTGGTATGACACTTCATATGATCACGAAGTTTATATAAACTAGGATATTTGCCATTGCATCCAGTCCACTTGCATTTAACTCCATCCTTAACTCTATTGCCACGCGGACAGTCTTTCATGTGTATAGTCACATGATACAGATACATTTGATAATTTTTAAACATTTGCAAACATTCCTCCCATCTACACATGTGCGGAGATGGTGAATCTATGATGTTCCTCCATTCTGGATCTCTACGGCATCTCTGTAAGAATACAATTTTAAATTTCAGTATTTATTGATAATTAAAAATATATCAACATATGTATAATATTGCTACTTACAGGAAGTTTAGTTCTTCCACGAACATTAGATCCAATACATTTCAACTTGGTGTGATAAGCATGATAATTAACATGCTGCACTATTTCATCGCATACATCAGTATAGTAAGAACAGTCTTTCCACTGACAAGCATAGACTTCATTGTCATCTTTCATGCTTATATGTATGTTTGGTATGTGACTCGAGACATGTCTCATAAATTGATCCATATGATTGCTACGAAACGTGCACGCCGTCCATTCGCAGGTCAGATCCAAAGCTTCGTTCTTCAATTGTATCCCTACCTTGTGTCTCTTGGCACCGCATTCCGAGACTGAGTCGAATTCCGAATCTGTGTTGTACCAATCATCGTATTCAGACTCCTCCAATTTTCGCTTGGCAGTATCTTCTTCCAAGTAAGGATAATCCTGCTGTGATTCTACCCACTTGCTGCATCTATCTAGTATCTTGCTCGTCATCAACTTTTTCGGTAGGTCCGCCATTACGTATAAATAATCGTAATAAATAATGTATTATATCTCACTTAAATGTCTCACCTGCAATGCAATTTATACATCAATGAAATATCGAAGCTTATTCGTGCTTATTTTTACGCGTTTAAATATACCGCCGAAACGGCATCGACATGGAACGACAAACGCATTGAGTGATCGAGGAAAGTGACGATGATCTTGCGAATAATTCTGCGTAGAAATAAGTAAGAAGTACTTATCCTCGATAAAACGTTTATTACGGCATCGATACCACGCGATACTATTTGATTAATCTCATATACACGCTTATTCCACGCTTTATTCCGGCAGTCTCACCGTGCATAGTCACCATGTGCTGCTACAGTTGCCTCGTTATTTGTTGCTCCCTTATCGTCCCGCATTAACATCTATCATCGTAGATAAGCAGTATTTCTCTGTGAGCGTGCTTCTCGAGCCCATCCGATGTTCTCCCGCGAATGTCTCGCCCGTGGATTTTTTTGGTGGACGGCGCGAACTGACGTGTTGCGCGGGACGCGTCACGTTGCCGCTACTCCTCGCACGATCAGCTGTTCCGAAAGCAACGACCGAAGGGGCACGACCATTTGCGCCCTGTCCTCAGGTTGTGTCACGTGTCTTAATTAATAGAATCACGCACACCGTAGCTTATTTATCCTTTACTTTTCCGACAGGTTAAGCAATTTTCCCAATCGAGCACGCCTCGTCGCGCGTTTTCCTTCTCTTCGCACGTTTATCGAGATGTTTCATTAAGATTAAAAATTACGGAAATGATACGTTCATTTTTCGTTTGTATAATCAATGACATTTTGATTTGCATTTCAAAATTATTAAAGTGTCAAGTACATTTGAATTTCAAATGTATTCGATTATGCAAAATTAGTTTTTTCACTAGCTATTTTCGTAGTTCTTGCGCGATTCTTCAAACAACACGTTATTGAATTTTTCAAATCTACAGATTTATCCGCTCTGTTTGCATGCGAAATTAACTGTACAAATTACATTTTTCGCTGATTTTTTCTTTCTTAAATATTAACTCAAATATTATTTTTTCAATATTTAAATTTAACTCAAGTTTACAGAGTATTTAATAGATGTAATGCGTTTTACAGGACGCGGAAAATGCGGCGTGGCGGTGGTAAGATTATCGGGAAGCCGATCTCTGGAAGCACTGAAAAGGATGACGAATATATCGAAATTGGTACCGAGAACAGCTTTTTTACGGAAGATACGCGATCCGGAAACCGAGGAAGTCATTGACAATGGGCTCTGTCTATGGTTTCCGGGTAGGTATGACTTTAACATGACTTTAAAAAATTTAAAACAAGTGTGTGCTTTTCCACATTAATAATCTCCAAGATTTACGTCTATAAAACGATTAATTTTCAGGTCCGCATTCGTTCACCGGCGAGGATTCCGTGGAATTCCACGTGCACGGTGGCACGGCGATCCTGACACGATTGATGCAAGCCCTCTCGAAACTGCAAGTGCATCCGGCTCTGCCAGGCGAGTTCACCAGACGCGCCTTTTACAATAACAAGCTGGACCTGACAGAGGTGGAGGGTCTGGCCGACTTGATAGAGGCCGAGACCGAGTGCCAGAGGAAACAGGCGCTTCTGCAGGCCGATGGTGTCCTACACAAGTTATATGACGGCTGGCGAAAGGTCCTCTCGGAATCCGTAGCGAGTATCGAGGCGTACATTGACTTTGGCGAAGAGGACAACATCGAGAGCGACGTGGTGCAGCGGGCGCACGATGCTCTCAGACAGTTGGTGCGGGATCTGGAAGAACATCTGGCTGATGGTAGACGTGGCGAGATCCTACGCAATGGAATTAGGACTGTGATCGTCGGCGAGCCAAACGTGGGCAAAAGCAGTCTGTTGAATCATCTGGTGCAACGCAACGCCGCCATCGTCACGCCTGTCGCTGGCACCACGAGAGACGTCATCGAGCTGAGTGCCAACATCTCAGGCTATCCCGTGTTGATAGCAGACACCGCGGGCATCACGAATAATACTAAAGATATCGTCGAGGTCGAGGGTATCCGTCGTGCGAGAAGTTACGCGGAGAACGCTGATTTCGTTATCGTCGTGATGGACGCATTCAAGTGCGTGATCAGCGAAATGACGTATGAAGATTACTTGCGCGGATATCTGTCGTCGTTGGGAATATACGAACTGTTAACGAAAATGGGCAAGGAACGTTTCATCGTGATAATGAACAAGAGAGATTTACTGAAAGCGGAGGACAAACGTCGCCTGGACGATGTTGAAGCGGTTCTCATATCTTGCAAAACAGAAGACGGCTTTGAGGACTTGCTGCAATCGCTAACAGATCGCTTCAGTAACATGTACGTATACAATGCAAGGTATAATTAACGCTGACATTTGTAAGTTTGTATTCTAATGATTATGTCCCGTAGATGCGGCGAACCGTCCGCGGAAAATCCAACCATCAGTCAGGAGAGACATAGAAATCATTTGACACGCTGTCTGAGACATTTGCGGAATTACTTCCAATTGTGCGGCAATGAGCAACACGACATGGCCATAGCGGCGGAGGAGATACACAAAGCGATGAGAGAACTCGGAAGGATAACGGGACACGTCAGCACCAATGAGATATTAGACATTATATTCAAAACCTTTTGTATCGGCAAATGATGGACCGTTGCCGCCACACATTTTTGTACAAACAAAATGTACGTTTCTGCGTACTTTTCCTTACAGGATATTTGATAATGTCTGAGAGATGTAGAGCATGTAATAAATTACGATTATACATATTTAAGAATGTAGTATATCTAAATCTAGTATATCTTTATAAATTATATATTCGCGTCTTTCATGCATACATGATAAGCGGAATATTCTCGCAAGACATAAAATTGCAATACTCTCTGGGGATATATGATACGATACATTCCAATCACATTATTTTTGGAAGGTGTCCGGCGAGAGACATCGTTTCTATAATTTGTCTTTATTGCAACAGGAAGACATTAAAACGGAGTTATCTGTGCATATATAAATGTACGTATAAATATCTCTCTCGTAGATTATTCGAGGAAACTTTGCTCGAGTAAGGCTACGAATAGCGCGATGAGTAAAATAAATAGAAAGGTGCCTTCATAAGCATCGTATGTTTATTAACAATGTTACACGCACAATCATACATAGAACAACCTTTTGCCTGATTATAGGATATCGATACCCCCATGCGTTTATACACAGATAGGGCTCCGTTATGTGGTCTCAAGTCGTTATCTGTATGCCATGTCCGTGTTATGTATGCTAATTATAATCGTTATTATGACATTCATAATAACTCGACTCGCTCTCGCAAAAAGGATAATTTAAAATAATGAAAGCAATTCGACTGAGGAAAAGAGAAAAACCAGAAAAAAAAAATAGAAATAAGTCGCATACAAAAATTCGCTTCTTCCTCCTACGGACAATTATTTATATATATCTTACAACGCTATGATATTCGAAACAGACTATATTTCTCTATTACAAAAAAAGAAAAGTAAGAATTGACGCTTAATCATTAGTTACACAAAGTTCATCATGCACAACTGTTAATAAAATTTTTTTCATTTTTTTAAAAAATCGTATTTATCGCGCTAGATTCCCCCATTTTTTACAACATTCAAATTTCGAATAGATGCATCTGGTTCTTTGTTTTATTTTATTATTTTACCTCTCTATGGTAACTTTTCTTTTTTATTAATCTTTTTTCCCCCAATTAAGGATTAATTAAATTCAATAAATTCGTATGATATTCGTTGCGGGTCGTTCGCGACTTCTCGCTGCGTGCATAATATATTCAGGGATGTGAGTCGCGAACGAGTTCACTATCAGTATAATTACAGACCGATTGGAAAAAAACAAAGGTAAATCGAATGATTCATATGTATATCTGTATATGTATATATATATGTATATATATATAAATTAATTTGGCGAATTTATCACACATCACGCCGCGCTAGATTCATCTTTCCTTTTTTTTTCCCTATTTCTTTTATCATATAAACCCAATATATAGAATCTTCGAAGAGTAGACTGTTTGTACAATTGCATAGATTAGTTTGAGATCTATCCGAAAGCAAACTGACTCGCACTGCATGTTCAAGACGCAATTAACGTTCTCGTCGCGAAGCACACTCGCGACTTGTCCTCAATCGTCTTCATTTTCTATCTACACGTAATGTCCTATTTTTTTCTCGCTTTTTTTTATAAAGCCTTAGAAAACGCAACGCGGTTTACATTCGACGAAAATAAAAAGCCGCTACATCGCTTCTCTCTTTCTTAGCTCTTGATTGAACAATCTTGCGCAAGTATATCTTTCGAATCCTTGAAATGCTACTGACATTGAAATTTCGTCCGACTTTTGATAATGCGACGAAAAATCATGGTAGAACTTAAGGATTGATTCGAACCTAGTGAACCGCGCATTCAATGGGTACATTGAAGAGAATAAAAGATTCCAAGAGCGATTACTGCATGAATAAACAACTAAAATTATAATTACGCAAATACATATAAGATTATTTTATTTTGTTTCAAGAATAATAATATGATATAAATTTTCAAATCAGTCGAAAAAAATTACTTGTTTAATATAAGAATATGTAATATTCTTGATGATATATAAGTTTCAAATGTAATAACTCAATATTTTCAAATTTTTATCGGGTAATACCTCATCTTCTCGATTAGAAGAATTAATAAATTTCACGCAAGACTTCAATTGCGAAATCATACTGAAATATATAAATCGATCATACAACTTAAATTTAAGTAAGATTTATCTTGTTTAAAACAAACACAAAACACACACTGTACATATTCAGTTCAAAACTGATTATAGATAAACGCAGGCGGTTCAGAAGGTTTTTCGTGCCACGTGGAGGATACAAACGAGAAAAGGAAAAGAAAAAGAAAGTTTATCGAGGATCGAGTCGGAGATCCATCGAGTTTCCCTTCTCTCGTCCATAACTGGTCCACGAAGACCTTTTCCTGATATCGAACGAGACATTCATTCTCTCGTCCATTTCACTAGCAGTTCGTTCTCTACCTAACGCGTCCCTTTTATAACAGCGGAGGGAATACGAGAAAAGAAAGACGCGAAAGTAAAAGGTCTGTCGTGGATCGGATCGAAGACTCTTCGATTTCCGCTCGGTTCCTTTTCTCATTCCTATAATTGGTCCACGAAGACCATCTCCCCGTCCTGAGAATGATCGAGGAGTCCGCTTCGTTTGTTTTCATTTTTTTTTTCCTTGATAATCTTCTTTCTTCTTCCTTATCGATTAATTTTTTAAACTTATTTAACGCGTCATTGATCATATCACACATCAACGTCGCGCGCATTCTCTTTATACTAACTGCTCAGCATTTGCTCTTTTTCCTGAAAATACTTTAATGAAGTGTGATTAGTTGTTAAATATTAACTTTTAAAGATTCTCGTTCCCGTTCTCTATGAAAGGCGCTAAATTCGACGATAAATTACTATTATCATGAGCGTTACCCAGCAATTCGTTAAAAGGGAATAGAACGCCGCTAAGATATTATATAATTAATTTAACAGCTGATTGAATTTGAGACGGTAAAACTTTCGGTTTCGATTTCGTGAGGTCGTTTAGAAAACTTCCGTAAAGATATTCCTCGCATAATTCCGCCTGGGCGAATTTTGTCAACGTTGTTCATACTCATATCTGTAGCTTTACCGGACTGCACTAAATAAAAGTGGAATGTACATCAAATTAGCTTCGTACGATTTATCAGATTCGCGAAATAGAACTTTCTCTAGATCATGTCGGAGAGCTGTGATTACGCTTATAAAAAATGCATATCTCAACGCACAGTTTTGATAATTTTGTCGGAAAACTGCTGATGCATCTCGGAAACGTACCTACTTGTCTCGATATCGGTGTCTCATATGTATATAATTTATAAATATCAATAAATAAATATTAGCACATATATAGATATTGATATTTATAAATTCATATAGCATATGTGTGTGTATTTAAAAATTTGCGAAGTAAATTTTAAATTTATACAAATATATTCTTATATACTTGTCTGATATCGAACACGAGGTAGCTTTCAAAGGAATCCGATTGAATCGCAAATTATATTACGTGGGAAAATATCGATAAACATTCTCACTTTAAAAAACACAAAGATATCAACCGAAAGCTGAAATATCGAAGACAATTATGTCGCGTCGTATAATATCTCGAAACGGAAACTTTTCGTTTCGTCTCGCGAAAATCTTGAAATAAATGGAAATAAAGTCCTCGGTACTGAAACGACCAGCACGTTTCGTCGGCGTTTCGGTACCGAGGTACGCACCGGGATCAGCTGCTGATCGGCACGGATCGTTTTTTTTTCCGTACGAAAGGAAAGGAGACGAGACCGCATTTATCGCTTTTTTTTTCGCTTCTAGCGAATGTATGTCTATACACACATACACATTCTATACTTTGCATGTAAGTAATGCCTATTTTCCAAAGATATACGTTATGAAGCACACACTTTCGCAATCATTAAATCGCGCGGGCGACTCCCGAATTCGTTCTCCCCTTATCGCCCCTATCACGCGTTTCTATGATCCCTTGATCGTGGAAGTTTCATCCCTCTTGTCCTGTCGCGGGTTTTGTATTTCAAGACATTACAGGAACGCGTTGTCGCACGTCGCTTTCGGGGTGACGATTGAAGAAGGTGTGCATACACGATTTCGTTTCTGTAATTTCGCGTATTTCTCACCGGTATTTGGCTAGGATTCGATCTAGGATGGCAACGTCAATTAATATCAATTCTGGAAATATTTTTCAACATATTTTACAAATAATTTTGCAGTTTAATATTAAATTTAATAGATTAATTTTTGATAGAATTACAAACTCTTTTTTTAGTGCTTCTCCAAGACAAAAGAATATCTACAAGTCGCAATTGACATTAAAATTGGCGTTGCTGCTATCTCTGTTCTAACGATTATACAATACTAATGCTCTATCTTGGTGTGCAATTTTTATAGAGCATCGCATGTATAAAAGAGAATATATACTACTTAGAAATATTACAATGATGATTTAATCGAAACTGTAAACTTTCTGAACCATCGCAACTTAAAATGGCGTATGCACACGCAGATATACTATAATTTTATTTAAAAAAAAATTCGAAGATGAATGTGCCGATAAAAAGAGAACTGAAGATTACACGTTGGTGCTACACCAATTTGCTGCAAATCTTTGGGGACCGCATATCTAAAGCCGCGCGTTTGACTTTGACGAACGAATCTCTATCTTACTTTTTCAGAATACAATTCCGATTACAGTACGAAAAGAAAATTTTATCACACGGAGCTAGAATATTATGCGTGAAATGTTATGCGTGAAATCGGTCCCGAAATAAAAGAAAGATACTTAACATAAAAGAAAGATCCTTAATTTCTAAATTCATTCGACGGACCAAAGGGATATGTCACGATCCGTGAAATGCAACGGCACGAATGACTGGATCTCGGAGAAGCTCTCGTAGAAATTCTCTCGATCGAGTCGTCCTCGCCGTTGGACGCGCTTCGCGTTTATTATTCTCTTCCTATTAATAATCGCGCGATGTTACTCTTTTTCATTTAGTATAAAAGTCTCATCCGGTAACACGTTCGATTTGCACGTACTTGTACAAATTCGAAATTCGACTACACACGCGAGTACACACACTCGACTATTTTAGACTTGACATGTGTACTTTAATGAGGAATCCTTAACGATTAATCCTTACACGCGTATTTAATACATGATGCTTATGAGTTTATGAGCTACCTATACTAAAGGAAAAAACATACACCACTGAAAGATTATATTTCTCCTTATATCTCTCCGCGATCACGCGTTATTATTAGTTATACTCGGATCGCGCCGCAAAGCTACGTTTTTTTTTCTTTTTTTCTTTTTGCACTGTGCATACGCTTAGTGGAGATGTAATGTTTCGCGATTAATGGGAGCAAAATTCGAACGATACGCGTCACTCTATATTCGTGATAATAAAAATTTCTAAATGTCTCCGCCTCGTCCATAATTTCCTCATCTCCCTCCCCATTTTCCTATATATGATCTTTCTCTCGCGCGCAGGCATCATTACACCACCACCCCATATACAAATAGTGAAGCACATTAAAAACATAGCGGTAAGCTAAGTATTATGTAAGTATTGGAAAACTTCCACTAATTCTATGCAAAGTATAGCTTGTAGAATATCATTCATTAAAACTAGAACTTACACGATAACCGTGAGATAATATATATTTTTATATTTCCTTTCCCTTTTTAATATTTAAGAATTTTTCTTTTCCTCATCGAGAGGCGCAGCGTTTTCCGCGCTCAGATATTTTCTGCCCGCCCCATCATGACTTGAAAACTAATACAATCAAAACAGGACATCATGTCCTAATTATAGCATTCGCTGTAATTTAGGTACCACTTCATAGATAGCGTGTATTTTTTTTTATATTGTCCCCCCCTTATGTGTCTCTGTATGAAGATTTCACACACGCTATATAGATTACATATTATTACATCATAAAATTATAGTTGAGCTCACAACACTCACTATGCCCTGCCGTGTCACATCGAATGACGGAAACAAGTGAAAATCATCGTTCTGCTTTTCCTCGTATCGTTAAAACCTCCTCGCATCCTTTTCAAGTGCGCTATTGATGATCTCGATACGCGTAAATTTGCCAAAGTACCGTCTCCTCACTCGAATATTCGTGTCGATTGTGATATATATAACTCAGATTGGCTAAAATTTATTTCAAACTGGATCAGAAATTGAAATAACTTTCACCATATCTCTCGCGTGTGTGATTCGTGCGAGTAATTTGGCTAATCTCGCGTATAAGTATACTTGCGAAACGCTCGACGCAACGTTTAACTATCGATAATTCATCGCATCAATCCGCTTTTCGCGTATCAACAAATAATTTTTACGTCAGAAAATTGATAAATAGAAAGAAAAATTCTATCTTAAAAATCATTTCATTTTTTAATTCTATCTTAAAAATCAGCAATCCACAAATCTCATAATAACCAGACTAAAAAAGTGAAGAACATTCGAGCAATTGTCTTTGCATTCCCAAATTTCAAATTGAATGGAATCTAAAGAAAGAAATCTGACGGTTTTACTTGTTGAATCGCGGCGGTCTCCTCAACCGTGGTATCAGCTCCGTCCTGACAGCTCTGGCGTAATTCGGCGCTGCGTATTGATCGGTCACTGCGATCGGACTCTGAAGACTCTGTATGAACATGGACGAGTCCTGTATCTGACCTACACCCGCCGCTGCTGCCGCTGCCGCTGCCGCCGCTGCCTGATATTGATACTGACTATTGGTCATATCGGCAGTTGGGTAGTGATTCGGTTGCACGAACTGCGGCGGATTCTCGTACTGCGGATACGGGATCGAGCTCTCTGCAGAAAATTGCGGGATCACTGCAGGATTCACGTTGACCGAAGTTGTGGCGAAACTACCGGGATCGTAGGTCTGATGATACTGATTCAGCTGGCCGATCTGCGTAGTGTTGAACGGTGGCGATTGCGGAAACTGCGCCGCCGCAGTGTCGGAGAACAGTACACTCGCGACTGTCGGTTGCGGGAAAGAATCCGGTCGCGGATACGGCGAGATGCTGGCTGTCACCGCGTTGCTCAGGTTCTGCACGTTCGGTATACCAGCGGCGAGCGGCGAGGTGCCGTATCCATGGAACGTGGTCTGCGAACGACCGGTATGATCAGTCAGATCTTTTACACCACCGCTCTGCAATGAGCTCATCATGTTGAGTTTGGACTTGGCACCGCCGATCGTCTCGTTACCGTGCTTGGCGCGCGCATCCGTTAGCAATGGATGCCGCACGTTTACGATGCTTTGCGGAGCACGCAACGGCGGAAAGTTGATCGGCGCCATCTTCGGCACCGAGTTCTGCTGCTGCTGTTGCTGCTCGAGCGCTTTGCGTGCGACCGCAAATGCACTATTGTTGTTATCATTCCTTTGAGAGACAGAGGTGTACGTGACGCTGGACGGCGTGTGGTTTTCTCTGTGCAAAACAGTCGTGCCCGATGACTGATGCGTGGCGAATCTTAACGGCAGATTGGCGCAGGTCATCGCAGACGCAGCGGTGCCGCCGCCGCTGTTACTGTTACTCCTGCTCTTGTAATCCGGACTGTTCACCGACACCGGTTCTTTATAATCTGATTGAATCGGATAATTTTTGATGCTCGAATCCGCTTCACCCGTAAATTTCTTTGGACCGGCGTAATCTTTCAAATGTTTCACCGGATTGGTCTCATGTGCGGTACTATTGACGCAGGTGCTGACAGACCGTACACTGCTAAACGCTGTAGAAGAGCTGGACTGTTTCGCATTGACGATTGATGCGTTTTTCGTCGCGCTGTGCGATTCGCTCGCAGATTTCAGATTCTCACTGTTACCGTCATTTTTTTTCATCGACGAGTTAATTTTTCCAGTGGCGATCGGGTTCCCGGACGTTGTGATGGTATGCAAAGTAGCATCTTTATTACCCACTGCAATGTTTGCTGTCCTGACAGACAGCTTGGACGTTCTACTTTTATTTCCCATGTGATCTAACTTCTGTCCGCTTTTTCCTTTGTCGGAAATCTTATTGCTAGTTGATAATACTTTGGTGTCCGTATTGTTATTCTGATTTTTAGATGCGAAATTATTGTGAGGCTTGCAGGTGATGGTGACAGCTGGCAGGAGCAAAGCGCTGGCTCACTTCTTGGTCATGATTTTGAGATATTCCAGAGCATTTTGAGCAGCACTGGCTTGAGCATCTTTACTAGTCGCACCGCAACCATAGCAAACTGCCACTGGCAGGGTAGACAGTTGCACAAGGCACTGGAATTTACCTAAGGGATAGGATAATAATATCTGTTATATCTTATAATTACAGCTGCAATATTATTTTTATTTTTTAACATGCATAATTAAGCAATTTTAATAAAAGTTTGCATCATGATTCATGATAATATGATGTCAAAGATCATAGATGTCATATGTATCAACAAACAACTTGCGTAATATAATCAAAGATTATATTATGCTTAGGACTGTCTATACGAAATGTACTTGATCACTTGTACAGGATCACTGTGACATATTTACATTTTTATCTGTTTTAACATTTATAATAATTATAACTACTAATTAAAAATATCATGTAAATGCTAGTTTATGACGGTAATAACATCGGTTATTGCTCGTTATCTACAAGCACTCAACCTACAAACACTCGACTTATAAGTGACCTACAAGCAACAGCACAAGTGCTCTGTGCATTATGGCAGCTTTGACATCAGCTAAGAACACTTTAAGGAAACAAATGAAAAATGTTCTTCAAAATATTAGCTCACAAGAAAAAAAGGAACAGTCTATAAACGTATTGAAAAAGGTGAGTCAGGAAAAACATATAGATCAATAATATGACTTTAGTTCTTGAAAAGGTTATGTTCTAATAAAATATGTATACAGAAAAGTTGTATATAAAACAACTTTTTTGACATATCAAATTATTCTCATATTACTTACAGCTGTGTGCACTGAAGCAATATCAAGACAGCAAGAGAATATCGATATATCTTAGCACTAAAGATGAACTTGATACTTTACCCATTTTAAAACATATATTTGACACTGGAAAGGAAGCGTTTGTACCGCAATATGCAGGAAAAACTATGGACATGGTAAAACTAAACTCATTAGAAGATTATGAGACATTGCCGTTAACAAAATGGAACATAAAACAACCAAGTCTTACTGAGTGTCGTGAAAATGCATTGGAAACAGGTAAACTTTTACAATAAAACTAAATAAAAATCATTTTTCAAACTTATTTCTAAGTTCATCAATTACTAATTGAAATCATATAAATTTCATTACACATAGGTGGATTAGATCTAATAATTTTACCAGGTGTTGCTTTCACAATGAATGGTGAGTTTTGTTCAATAATTATTATATATACTTTTACACACAAATAAATATGTGTATTATATTTCTTGCATCTCACTGATTATTTTATTATTATTTTATAATTAATTAGGAAAACGTCTAGGACATGGAATGGGTTATTATGACAAATATTTAAAAATTTGTTTTCAAAAACAAACCACAAGGCCATATCTAATTGCAGTAGGATTTAGAGAACAGATACAAGAGGACATTCCTACTAATGAAGATGACATGCTTGTTGATATTGTATTGGTCGATAAATAGAGTGCATAAAAATATAAAAGCTTGTTATTTTACTTCATGTGTGACACGAATAAAATTATTTTCTCTTATGAAAAATATATATAAAATCATTTTTATTGGTGTATCAAACTTACCACTGATAGATTTTTCTTCAATATCAACATAAGTTACTTCAAACTGCTGCTCTGATGCAATTTCTTGTAAGAATTGTACCAAATTTACATCCCCATCATTGAAACAGGTATTCTGCAACAAGATCAAAGTGATTTGCAGATAACTCGTCAATTACGATCTGTATACAGTGATGTAAACAAACAGACAACTTCTTTCTGGCTTAAAAGTAAAAAAATTATTATCTAAATATTTGTTCTTCTATTGGCTTCATCGAATCTGAATACAAACCTGCAGTTGAAAAAGCTTAACACCTGTGGATGACTTGAGACTCTTGTGAAATTTCGAAACTTGGATACTATGTACTGTTGTCAATGTTGAGATTTTGCTACCTTTCAGATCGGCATAACGGGCGCTCACGTTTGCATTTCTTTGCACAATCTATAATGGACAATTAATAATATACATAAAACTTTTGTTAAGCACATAAGTTACAAGGAATTTTTTTATTAATAACTACTTCACGTTTACATAAAAACTTAAATGAAGTGGATATGACCCAAGCGTAATCATTCTTGAGAGAGAATACACGATTAAATTACACATTGAAATACGAATACTACCCGCGAATAATGGTCCGTTAGTTAAACAGATCGGAAAGATAGCTCACATTTTACAAAATGGCGTTAAAGCCAAAATCACTTCCACTTCGCTAACTACCCGCGCATATATACATACATACACACATACACACGATAAATGTAAAATAGACATCATCAACCACTTGTCTTTCAATTCTTGCTGTTGTATGTCTAACAACAGCTACTAATTCTGTATCACATCTCAACTATATTTCTTCTTTTCCCTTTTTAAAATATATTTCTAATAAAATCTACGAATTTTAACAATTAATCTTTAATCTTCACAATTCTGATGTAATTCTGTTCAACGAATTCATTATCAACAATTTACACACAATACAATCAGGAATTGAAATATTCAAACATCAAGATGGCAACAATGACAGGAATTAAATGGATATGCCAATTGATATAATATTCAATATTTATAACAAAATTATTTAATTAACAAAATGCCAAATTCTTACCTCATCCTCATCAACACTAGGAGCCTGGTTATTCATATCGTGTAAAGCTTGCCACATTTTATGAGCGGCATGCCTCTTAGCAACTTTTTTACTTTTTCCTTGACCGACCTCGCGATATTTTAGGATTGAACAAACAATAGTGAACTGCCTCTCGTGAGGTAAACCTTCTTCACCTTCCATCGTGTATTTCGGCGGCGGCCAATGGCGCGACATACACATTTCTTGTAAGGCTCCAATTGGATTATTCACTACTTTCTCCTCTCCATAAGACTGTAGTTCTTGTAAATTTTGAGAGCTACATAAAAAAGCACAATTTCATAGTTACAAATACAATTACATACAAATGCAAATATTTGGGCTATTTTAACATTTATAAAGAGTAATTTCTTACTCGGGTAAACTATTTGGGAGTGGAGATTCTGCAGTTTCAGTATTTACTCCAATTAATTTATCCAAAACAGCTTTTGCAGCGGCGTGTTTTGCTTCTTTTTTGGACCTGCCAGTTCCCATTGCTGAAACAATTGGGTCTGTTTTTAAATAGCTAGATACTTATCGATCAATAATACGTCCTTTGGTAAGAGTGGAAAAAATGTACAAACCAACAACATCAGCAACAGTGACTCTGTATCGAAACGTAGGTTCATGAATAGCCCCCTCAATTTGGACCAGCTCATATTTGGGTATCGTGCCCCTACGGGAAAGTAATTCCTGAAGAACAGAGACGGGTGTTTTGCTGGGTAACGCCTTCATTTCTAAACGCGCTGCCTCATGTAACGGCAGCTTCTCCAACATCATAGCGTGCAATGTTACGCGAACTCTATTACGACGATTAACATTATTTGAATGATTAGGAACGCCACCCACACCAGCCATCATGTTAGGCCCAACCTGCTGTGGTTGATGCATTTCCTCCATTGTAATGTTCTGAAATTGTAAGCATTAACGGTTAATTTTTCCTCAATGTCAAAGAATCAGAAAGATAACATATTACTGTATTGATTTGATGTGAAAAAAAAAACAAAGAGAAAAAAACGACGTTTTCTAACATTCATCTAGCAACTCCAAAAATGTACAGTAAAGATAACGAGAATACCATTAAATTTTACAGCTTCTAATCAATCTTATCCTACATTCTTATCTATAACTATATATTTGTCTTATCGAACAATAATAACATATGTAACAGCTAATTTACATACACGATATATTCCTATCCTACGCTATACGTATCGAAATCGCGCAACGCTTACTTCGAATTTCCGACCATTGTAGAGGGATGCAAGCGAAACGTCAACTCTCAACGGTCGTGCGTCCTAAAGGCGCGGAAATCGGGACGAGCTGTCCGTTACGTTAAACACGACGAAACCGTATTTTAATCGACAATGCGATAAAATCGTCGGGAGACCGGCATGGCCGCCATGATTGTTATAAAATCCATCGATTGACCGTAATACAACGACGCGAGAAAAATACGCGTGGGGCTCGAGCCGGGGACGAGCTGCCGCGCGAAAAATGCACGTACGACGTAAACACGTCGTTCCTTATCGATGACGGTGACGATCACCCGGTGTTAGGAGTAACGGCCGACCGGTTGTATGTGTGTATGTATCGTCCGCTACGCGGTTCGATCCGCGAGCCAAAGTCACCGGGGGGACAAACACGCGTCTCACACTTACGATTTTTCGGGGAGACGTGTAAAGGTTTCAGCTGGCTCCTTTGACAGGCCAATTCCTATGCGAAAAGCGAATCCCGCTTTTTGTGATCGATCCAAGTCTCACAAAAAGCTTGATCCGTTTGACGACAGAAAAATGGTTTACTGGCTAGCGGAGAATCCCTTCCTCGTTCGCAGCTCTGCGATATCTGTGAGTGTGTCCGTGCATCCCCTTTCACGCGCGTGAATCGCGTTTGCGCGCGCGCGCGCTCGCGCTCGCGCACGTGTGCGCCGCCGATACTTTTACCCGCGTCCTCCTCGGTGGGAAATGTATCGACTCTCGATAAAATATCTTCGCAGGGTAAAGAATCGTGCGGAGAAATCATTGGCCGCATTCAGCGGCTCAACAGTTGGGCAACATTCCTAGATTTTCCGATGTAACTGGACGCTGATTGGTCGGACCTGAAAGTAGAAACCAATCATATTCGATTACTACTTAGCGGTTGAGTCCGCTGAATGACGCAGTCAGAGGACGCTTTGAAGCGTTTGATTGACCAATCAAGACGAAAGGAGTAGAGATTTCTTTACCCTGATTGGTCAATCAAACACTTCAATGCATTCAGAACGTCTCCCCGATAATCTACATATTGAAATAAGAGTATGGTGGGGAGCGCCGCGAATTTGACAGATACGCAGAGTTATTTCTGTTTGTTTTGACTTGTATTACCGTTAATAAAAACATGTGCTCAATCAACCTCGAGTCATTGATGACACGGAGTTAATTGAAACAATCGGTTAAACAAATTAAAAATTGAAACGATTATTAATAATTGTTTACAAGAGTAAAGCTGTCCCAAGTTTCGAAAGCTGTCCCAAAGTTTTTTCTTAAAGAATGTTTTTAGCGAGGGTTTTATACACGGAGAGAGAGTTTTCAGCGGTAGCCAATCAGAAATATCATAACAAGGATAAATATATCGAAGAAAAACGAATCTCGATCTGATTGGCGCACACTGTAACGCGACGACCAATCAGTTTTATAGGATTCCAAGACGATCTAGACGAGGGGACGCGTCTACATAATTACCACGTTAATGGTGTCACTTTTTTCTCTTTGCGTCACTTTGGATTCGCTCAGATTTGCTCGAGTTCACGTTCCGATTTGTACCGTATGCGAGCTGTCGCGAGTTGTTTATTTGCGAGGAACATCGAATAATATTGTTTAATAACAAAATCGAAAAACTCATTTGACAAGGAATATGGGCCGCTATAGAAGGTATGTCAACGAGAATGTTGCGACGAGAGATACGCAAAACATATCTCGTCGAGAACGCTACCCTATTCTAAGATTCACGATGAGAAACCACTTGCGGCAAGCTTACCTTTTTCTCTTAAAAACCAGATTTACCGGCAGTCTTTCTTTCCTCAACAAAGTATTTTCATAACCTATGTTCTATATATTATGTTTCTTCAAATATGATACTTACTAGCACTTACTAGCACAGCCCTTATCTTCGTCGTGCACGACGCTTCTTATGGACGTATGTTTTAATTTAAATTCTGTAAAAATTAGAATTTTATTTAATCATACATATATATGTTGATCCAGTCGTAGTCGCGATAGAGACAGGCGGCGCAGATCGCGGACTCGTTCGCGAAGTAGATCACCGCGTGACAGGAGGAGCTGGGGTGGCAGTGGAGGACGCGATAGACCTTCCAATAGTCGAAACAGTCGTGGTCAGCCTGGTGCGAATTTAAGAAAACCACGATGGGATCTTAGCCGATTGGAACCCTTCAAAAAGGACTTTTATATTCCTCACGAAGCAGTTCAAAATCGAGATCCGCGTATCGTGGAACAATACAGAGTTGAGAAGGAAATCACATTGAGAGGCAAAAGTATACCTAATCCTGTTTTTAATTTCGAGGAGGCAGGTTTCCCGGATTATGTCCTGAAAGAGATCAAGTAAGCAGTAGATTACAAAGATTGGATGTATTAATATTTTGTACTTATAATTGTAATCAATTTATTAAAATATCTTCATTTTATATCATAGGAGACAAGGTTTTAGCGAACCTACATCTATCCAAGCTCAAGGATGGCCTATTGCATTAAGCGGCAGAGATATGGTAGGCATTGCGTCCACTGGATCTGGGAAGACATTATCTTATATATTGCCGGCGATAGTTCACATTAATAGCCAGCCAAAATTAAGTCGTAAAGATGGGCCTATAGCATTAGTGTTGGCACCTACACGAGAGTTGGCTCAACAGATTCAGCAGGTTGCCGATGATTTTGGACACTCTTCAGGCATTAGAAACACCTGTCTGTATGGTGGAGCGCCAAAAGGTGCCCAAGCCAGGGATCTAGACGGCGGGGTAGAGATAGTTATCGCTACACCTGGTAGACTACTTGATTTTCTCGAATCTGGGAAGACAAATCTGAAAAGATGTACATATTTAGTATTAGACGAAGCTGATAGAATGTTGGACATGGGATTTGAGCCACAAATTAGAAAGATTATAGAACAAATTAGACCAGACAGGCAGACATTGATGTGGTCAGCCACATGGCCTAAAGAAGTAAAGAATTTAGCTGAAGATTTTCTTAAAGATTATGCTCAAATCAATGTTGGTTCTTTACAACTTTCAGCGAATCATAATATATTACAAATAATAGATGTATGTCAGGATTATGAAAAAGAGAATAAGTGAGTTTTGTATACTCAAGGCTTTTTGTTCAATTTTTAGGATAGCAACTGTTAACAGTTATTAAGAATTACTAACAATTATATTTCTAAAATGAAATCTGTCTTATCAAATTTTTATAGATTAAGTACTCTGTTAAAAGAAATAATGGCGGAAAGCGAAAATAAAACCATAGTATTTATTGAAACAAAGCGCAGAGTAGATGAGATAACAAGGAAAATGAAGCGCGATGGTTGGCCAGCAGTTTGCATTCATGGTGACAAGACACAGCAGGAACGAGATTGGGTTTTACAAGGTATAGATGAACACATATATATATAAAATATGTGTGTAAAGTGTATAAATATTTATATGTATTTTATATAGATTTCAGATCGGGCAAAGCACCAATTCTTGTTGCCACTGACGTCGCCGCACGCGGTCTTGGTGAGTAATTCAATGTTTTCTATTATGTTATAACACAACAATATATTGTCAGTTATTTTCCTATAACATGGAAAACAAGCTGATTAATATTCACGGTATTAATTTCAAATCCCCAAGATTATAAATTTTTTTTCTTTTTTATATACAATGCTCTATTCTGATCAAAAATTCTTATTTGTTATGTAATGTTCCGTTAAAAGCATAAATTAAAAGCAATTTAGATTGAAATATTTAAGTTATGTATTAAATATTTGAGAATCTTACGCTGTACAAAGTTGGAGCATAGCGCGAGTTAATCTTGTGTAATGAATTAAATAAGTCAAATTGTACATATATATCGATAATACCGAAGAAGTAACAGAAAACAAGTGTGTTGCATAAGAATTGACTTTGACTTAAACTAATTCGTACGGGATATTATACATGCAAATGTCAATTGAAATTACGCGCATTACATTTAAATTCGGATTGTTTTTGCAAACGGGACATTACAGCTTTTAACGCGTTGTAAACTTGAAATCAAAAAGAAGGAAATCAGAGAAGGAATAGGGCAAAAAGCAAAGCAAAAAGAGATATGAGCATATTGAAGCAGGAGGATGGTTGGAGGTAACCATACAGCTAACGCGGTTGGATCTTTGTTTGTATTGCAGAGGCACATTGCGCGCAGGCCCACGCCGGGTAATGCAAAGCATGTCGGGGGTGCCCGCCGCCGCTCTTTGTTCGGTGGTGCACTGGTTTGCATTGTCTGCGCTGGCCGCGACGCCGTGCCTCTATCCGTCCGTCCGTCAATCGCGTGTGAAGTCCGGCCAAGTCCGGGCCAAATCGGGATCTACTACTACTACTACTCTACTACTACTACTTTACCTACCTACCTACATACTGGATATCAGTCCTACTGCGCTGCGCTGTACGCCATCCGGGCTGACTGGCCAGGTCATTGTTGCCAGAATAGAGTCCCCTGCGCTGGCACGCTCAAGCTAATCAGACAACCAACAACGTTGGTCCGTTGAGGCGGTGGCATGTGATAGCAGATATGCCAGAGCCTCTCTTAGCGCGCCCTGCGCCTGTAGCGACAGAGTGGCGGAGGCAGTAGCTGGAGCGAGCGCAAATAGCCAGGCCCTGCCCGTACGTTGCTAGCGAAACACTCGCCCACTGCCTAATATATTTTAGTAAAATATAGTTCAAATTTTTTTTAAATTAATTGACATTTACACATATACTCGTACACACACACACACATACACATACACACACATAATACACGTATACGCGTATATATAAATACATGTATGTATACATGCGTTTGTATTGCCTGTGTAATTGTTAGCTTATTACGAATAATGTTCATTAAATTGCTCATTTATCTATATATATATATATGTATATATATATACGGATATAAACGCGTAACACTCACAAATCTTCCTATCACTTTTACGTCTCTTTAAATTGTACGCATTCTCTGATCACTTGTCCTTTTAATTCCTATGATGATCAACACCATACAGTCGCATTTTTTATCACAACTATCATACCATGTCAATTTCTCAGGCCACGATTCTAGTCTCTTTTTTTATATATCAGTTATTTGTATTTGTTGGAAAAAGAGTTTAAACATATTTTTATAATCTTTTTTTGGAATTATAATAAAGTTAAATTCATCATCGTGAAAGAGATATATAGGAAAGGAAGAAAAGAATCGTGCTCGCGATTCTACAGTTTGTTTTTATTTTAGATTTTCTCTCTTTATAAAAAATCTTATTTATACAAATTATAACAAGTCGTGTCTCACTAGTTTTAACAGAATTCTTTATATTCATTTTTTTTGTAAATTTTTGAATCCAAGAAGCAGCGCAATAATATCCAGATTATTACCTAGCTTCTTCGAAAGTGTATCGAATCGTTATACGATTTACTGGAATATGCTATTCGGTAACATTTAAGATCTATTCGACTCGTGGTGTTTCACAATCCTTGCGACACTACTACTATCTTAACCCATATCTGTCCTCAACACTGGAATTCCATAAAGAGTCGGGCTGATCTAATGCCAAATCTTAATTTCAGACGTTGAAGACGTCAAGTTTGTCATCAATTTTGACTACCCCTCCTGTTCCGAGGATTATGTCCATCGTATCGGTCGTACCGGTCGTCGACAGAAAACCGGCACGGCATATACTTTCTTCACGCCCAATAACGCCAACAAGGCCAATGACCTGATACAAGTACTGAAGGAAGCAAATCAGGTGATAAATCCAAAATTGTTGGAGCTCGCTGATGGCAAAGCCGGCGGATATGGCAGAAATAGAGGTATTTCGAGTATCTAGACATTACATTTCATAAAATTGAAGCGTGTAAAGACAATCGAATTAACACCGACAGGTGCAAGAAATCGATGGCGATCTCGAGGTGGCGGGGGTGGTGGCCGTAATGGGAAGGAACGCAGCTATTCACGAAGCAGAAGTCGAAGTCACAGCAGAGAACGCAACGGTCGTAGCAGTCGGCGAAGTTACAGTCGCAGCTATTCGCGAAGTCGTAGCCCTATTAGCAATCGTAATGGTAAATTATTATAAATTGCGAGCTAAAAGATATTAAAATCCGGTGGAACAATCAATGTACTAACGAGAAATTGTTTCTCCTCAGAGGTTATCGGCAAGAGTTACTGGAGTAGCGAGAGATGATCTTCCAGCGGCGGCTAAAAATCATGTTTGTATTTTACGAGATTTACAGGTAAATTTTTTTTACGTCCAATTGAAGCAATGTATTAGTAGGATAATGATTGTTGAAATCGCTGATTTCAAATGAAACATACATTGTTCGCGATAAGTTATTTATGCTAAATTCAATGGGACACTATTGTAATTTTGCGTACAGCAACGTATAGTCTGCGCACCAATTCGTATCCCATTCGAATCACCACTAAGCTGGCGCCAGATTATACGGGTGTTCGTGATTTGTGAATAGATGATTAGTAGAAAATATTGTTAAAGATTATTGATCACTCCAGGAATGATTTTTAGATAAAGAATATGATTAATCACGAATCGGGAATGACGAATCGGAAGTTTTCCATACAGGCGAATGACAAATCTTTCGCGAATTACAAATAATCTAACGTCCCAGCTTTTGCCGTGAAACATATTTGATAGTTTTCCGACGACGTTTACACGAATCTCTTATGTCAACTTCGATATATTGATCGTCATAAGATAAGCTTTTACAATTCATGTGTATTTGTAAGAATATTTAAAGTACTTGAACAAGTGGAGAGATATTTTTAATAGCTACTCACATTGTAATACAATGATAGAATGTGCTATTATTTTTTACTTCTTTTTGCATCTTCTCTGCCGCATCTAATTTTTTCCCTCTCAAGTATTATCTATATACACCAGATTAGATATAATATGAATGCATCACAATGCAAACTATCGTTTATATGTTTTTATAACACTCTACTTTTCACATTCTATATCGATAGTCAAAAAAAGAAAAAAGCTAGAATGTAAATGTAATCATTATGCAAACTAAACTTCCAGAATATAGCGATGTATTTAATTTAGTATATTATATGTATAATGGTATAATACATATGTATATATAATATTATACTATTATATATATATATATATAATTTTATATATATATATAGAAATCATAATTATAAATGTCTAGCGCGCTTATTTGTAATTTATTCGTCTATATCTAGACAATTGCGATAAATAAGAAATAATAATAACACTTGATGTACAGTATTTCACCTCGTGACACAAATAAATTCATAAATACGTCTAAATTACTGTAAATTACTTTGTATTGTAATATTGATGCATGCTTTTATTACTAAGATTACCAGACTATCTTCCAATGATTATATTACTTTATCAGCAGTGAATTACTTACCTGTAATGGTCTTGGCGAGAATGTAGATTAAGTGCTATTAATTTAACAAAATATAACAAAAGTCACTCGTCATAAAAAAGAAGTGAATCCTAATTGTAGTGATCGTGGGAATTATTTCGTCAATCGCGTAGGGTAGAGTAAAACAACAAAAGAATGACTCGTGCGTAGGATAGATTTTTCGCCCCCGTTATGTTTAATTTAATGTATATCTTAATTACAGTGATAATGCTTAAAGATCTTACGGTAATTTTAGAATCCGATTCCGTTTGTTGTTTTCTCAACCTAATGTGCATCGATTTTCGGTTCGGTTCGTTTCACTTTGCCTGGTGGCCGATTCCGGCCACATGGCATTCGTCGATACGAATAATTATTATTCAACCAATATAAGATGTACACCGGTGTAATTGACGATCTAATGAGTTTCACGCTGGAAAAGATCCCTTCTTTTTTTATCGGACTATGCGCCACGATACAAATTTTTATTATATTACACATCTTGGAATATCGTGCTTTTGCACTCATGAATCACAAACATGCAATATCTTTTTTTATTTACGTTCTCGACATGTGCTCGCTCGAGAATCGATCGTGCCATTTCTCCCTTTCGCCAAGGGACGACACAATCGTTACGATTATTATGGACAACGTAATATCTGCTCGTTGATACTCATCCAGGACGCGAGCGCGATTTTATAAGAGATTAACCGAGACTGATCACGATTACGACGAAAAAATCTTTGGCAGCTTCAACCGAAAGTTCAAGGCATCTTTGAATCGATTGAAAGAGGTGCAAGAATTTACTTTATTATAACACAATTTTATATATGTTCCAGGGAATATTATAATTTGATCTATATATAATAATAATAAAAAAAGATAATTTACTACGCCTCTCATTTTTTTTAATTCAAGAGCCTTAAATCAGAGATGCATTGTATTTTCGGTTAAGACAGCGCAAGACTCGCTCGTCATTTATATCTGTGATTGTAAGAAAAACCAATACCGATGTCCCATTAATCGTAATGTTAACGTTAAAGTGCGATTTTTGGTTTCTTCGCAATGTGAACGTGCGTGGGATAACGCGGGAATCTCTTCTGAGCACGCAGTGTGCGTGCGTGTGGCCTGTGTGTACGTGTATTACGTGTGTGTTAAACAGTGTGTTAAAGCTCCTCGCATCAATTTTTGGGGGTAAAGGAGGGATTTATTTTGTTTTTACAGAGGGCTCAGCATGCTTCGTTCACATATATTACAACGTACGCATATAACAATAACATTAAACCCTTTAGGTGTGTCTTCGGACGTGGGAGAGAGCTATGTGTGTGGCGCGCTTATAATTATATTTGCGATACAACGGGATCTTCGTGTGTCGTGCAAGGGTCATATATTCATGTGTGTACTTATGTGTGTGAGACGCTATGTTTTTTTTTTTTTTTTTTTCGGTGTGCGAATCGATCTCACCTGGACTCGAGTGACTCCAAGCAAGCGAGTGACAAGTGTGAGAGTGAAGTTTTACACGGTCGTCCCTAACTTCCGGTCACCGGAAGTAACTTCCTCAATCCGCGCGATACAGATCTGCTTTGGTCTTTCTATCCCAGAATCTTTTAACGTTACTCTTACGATTTAGAATTGAGGAAGATACGCAATCCGGTGACGCGTGCCGGCGCGTGCGTGCAGTAGATTCGATGATATCTATAATTAAACGTCAGTCAATTGTCTGCAACCGCTAAAATAGCCGGAAGCCTCATCTCGAAGAGCCAGCGGCTTCCAAAAAGGAAGCGAATCGATGATGAGAGATAAAACGTTGGAAGCAATCGTTGCTCGGTCGCTCAAATTAATTTGCTAAGAATGTCATCGATTTTTTGTACCCCTCGTTTTCGTGATACGCAAACATGAAGCAGGAAAAAAGATTTCTCGAAGAAAGACAATTTATCTCGCTGTTCGTTATGCGACTCCATTTCAAACTATCGTGTAAATTCTAGGATTGCCTGTTTGTGTTGCCAAGAGAGAATAGAAAGCACAAGAGTAATTTTTTTGAAATGACTCGTAACTTTATATCCGAGATAATACGAATATCCGATATAATCTCTCGATCATATTTTCTCATGACTTGCTTCGAATGCAAAAAAAGGAAGCAAAGTATTTCAGAGCACGACGCAAAATCGAATATTCATTGCGTTGCGTTGATTAAAAAGATGCGAAAAGTTTCAGGCGGTTTCTACTAACAGCCTGTAGTTCTTTGCAAGAGATCTTGCAATAATTTAAGTCTGTCGAATCGCTCGATGCATCGGCTATCCACAAGATTCGCTAATACAGATGTGCGCGTGAATCTATACGCTATTGAGAGATTCGATAATCGATGCATTATATATATACATAGATCTCTACATGTAATCGTTTCGTAAATACTGGCTTTGTGTCCCTTCAAATCTCTAACGTACAGAGACGTTTACAGAGAGACTTCTTAAGTATACATGGTGTCGCTTACTCCCGGCTCACGCGAAAGCCAGTAATATACCGGGTGTTTACGCGCAAACAACGACAGTCTATCATATTCATCGTAGTCATGGTATAGATGGACACGAAGCAAAATTCGAAATAAACCGGATAAACAAATGTGATGATCTCATCTATACCACGTCTACGATTTAATTATTCTACATAAGAATATTCGAAAAATACGAGCAAAACAATAAAAATCAAGTGTCCCTTGTAATTATTGCTAACGTTGTGTGCACGTTGTAATACATTGATCATTATTATTCGTCTACTTAAATTACTTGTATGAAGTGACGCTTCAAATATTTCACACACAAACGTGCAATCGATTCCAATTTTAATCTACATCCGGATTTGCGAGTGTACTATTAGTCTGAATTGCGCTAGACAACAAATTACAGATCGAGAGATTACAGTATTTATCCGTCAAAAAATTGATTGTTAGATTTTATCAATTGTTGAATTCCAAAAAAGTGATCAGCATGCGACGAGGGGTACTAGTGACAGGAAGCTGGCTTCCTTCTTGAAAAAATTCAACGCAAGATTTTTTCGTAGCTTTGCGCATATAATTATCTCTCGACTACCGGAAATAATTCTCGTTTATGATTATTCGATTTTATTCCTTCAGGACTTGGAGAGATCTGCCTAAATAATACTTAAGAGTATAATTTTTAGTTGAATCGTGTGACGTAAATATAAACTCTCGCAGCTTAATATCCCTTATACCTTTATGATAATATTTTCGAAAAGTGCGGCGATTTTCGTTATAAAAAAACACAGTCATCGATTAATGACATTTGTATCTGCATTTACGACGACTTTCCCGTTTTCTTGAGGATACTTTTCGTTCCATACGCGTGATCCCGGAGGTTTGTTGTATCCCAGAGACAGATACATTTTTCGTTTTAAAGACAATCGAATCTTGAAATAATGACATCGGCATTAAATCGCGTTTATCACACGAATAATTGTAATTGCAGAAAGAAGACGAATTTATATATGCCTGTCTCCGAATACAACACACGGTCTTATAAAGGCGTGAGGTGTACTAGCTGACGTCGCGAGCGGACTATCAAATCCGCGAGATAGTTACTTCTTCTTACGCACGCGCATGGTTTCATCGATTGCACGAAGTAAAAGGAAGATACACGAATGGGGAGAAACGGAGGGATGCTGATCGGACACGCGTGAATCTCCGTTCATTGCAAATTATCAGTCGGGAGGAGTTATTCCCCGACAATTTTCTAAATTCAAGATTTGGAGACGGGTCTTAATCTTCAGAAAAATAATAATATACGCAAGAAACGGCATGTCCAATCGCGCACCTTCTCCGTTTCCTTGTTAACCACCGAGTACGTAACGGGGTGTGCTCTCGTCGAGGCTTGCCGGGGTCGCCGTGTCGTCTCTCGCTTGAGGATTAGCGTCTCCCGTCGAGTTTCAAAAAATACAACTATCGTCCGCACCGTATTTTCTTTCTTTCTTACGTTTTTTTTTCTTTATGAGCACGTTCTGCGTGTCTTCGTCGTCTCCTCATTCCGTCCGCGAGATCGACGACACCGCCAGTTCCTCGCGACAAGTAGAATAATAAGTCGACGAGGGTAGATTTTCACGCGCGGCATCGCCGATCTCTTCTGAGCAAAATACGTATGAGAGCCCCGAGCCGGGGATCTCCCCTTCTTTCCTGGGCGACCGACCCGGGGCAGCGGAAAAAGGAAATACGTTATCCGCGAATTGCGCGCGACGCGATTGCCTCGCCAATATATTTTGTATCGCGAGTCCGTGGTCGCCTTCGGCTCGTATTCGCGTCTGCGCGTTAATCTTTATCCGGGCTTTGGATTAAAAAAATAACATCTCCTTTACTGTATTTCCTCTGTAATTCGCCCAAAATATTACGAATTCTCAATTCGTCGATAATTTACGCCAAATGATCGCTTCGGCGAAAGCGTATTAGCTTTTCTTCATACAAAAGAGAAAAGAATCGCCCGGATAAGGATTAAAATTAGCGATACCAAGGCGTCTCTCGTCTTGTTATCAGTGATAGAGGAGCAGATACTTTCTAAAACATCCACCGATCTTAAGCGTTCAATTACAACGGTTGAATCTTCCCGATTCAATTTTACACTTCGTTTTTTGTTTTTCATGTTTTTCTTTTATATAAATTATTTACGAGACAAATAGAAAAAAAAGATAACTCAAAAATATGTGAATTTTTGAAGCTCCTTGATACCGCTAGAGTTGATAAATCTGCCAGCTCATACCAGCAGGCCGTTGCACACTTGGAAAACTATCGGAATATTCAACACTTTTATAGATATATCTCCCAATATTTTGCAGCGTCAAACATTCCGGTCAATCCCCCTGTGCAGTCTTAAGAAGGGGCAACATGTGACACAACGAGGTAATGCAGATCGTTCCGTATTCTTTGCGAAACGACAACGAAACATCTCCTGTACAAACATTACCGATGCAACTATCGTTTTGCGAAGAAATCGGAGCGTGATCATCGTTATCGCGATATGTCGCGCGTTATTATTTTACCCCGTTTTACGGTAATATTTACCGAATTTGGAGTCGTCCGACGTCAATTCGCAACGACGGACGCATCCGTAGCTCGCGCGTCGACAAACGAGCTCGCTCGCTGGACGACGCGCCATTTTACGCAACGTAGATATAATTATACTTATAAACTTTACGCTTTTTTTAAATTGTTAACAGGCCGTGGCTATACAGGGCCCACTACGCTTTCAGTTCAGTCTGTGGCACGCGGTCTTCCGAGCGGTCATAAGGTACGGTGTGCGTGTGTGTACGTGTATTAAATGTGTAAAGTGCGCGCGGGTAATGTGTTACGTTTTATCATCCTCATCGTTTTTTACCCACCGTCGTAAGATATCTAGCATCGCTAACATCCTCGTTGCATCTCTTGGATGATCCTCGTCTTGGAATATCTTCATTTCGGGCGCGGACAGTAGAAGAATCTCTTTTCGTCGAAGTGCCTCCGATCGGTCCTTATTGAATAAATGCGACTTGATTGCGATCTCGTTGATGTCAAAAATTTTTTTTTGAAAGATCGACAATTTTGTAAAGTTGCCTCGAGCCACCACTTCTTTAAGGACCTGGTTTCGTACATGCAATTCTGATTCCGTCACACTTTCCGTTTCTTCTTTCTCATTTCTCTATCTTTATGGTATCGTCGATGGGAAACAGATAAACAGACCAGTACCCGAAGTTGAAGAGAATGAATACGAGAGGAAAGGCAACGCGTGCAAAGATGTCGATCCTCGCGCTGCCTTGGGTGCGGCAGGTGAACAGTTTGTGCGGTAGGCACAATATGGTCCAGAAGCCATTTTGCGATGATACCGTCGCCGGTGCGGACGGTGGCACTGTGGATGACGTCGGCGCAGCGATCGGCGGCGAGGGTGTCGCAACGCGCGACATTGTACGTGACGGCGTGCCCAACGGTGATGCCGAGGAGGCCGGGGAAGGCCATCGTGATGGCGATGGCGACGACCTTGCCGAGCTCCTGCGCGAATGATGTCGCGATGCTCGCATCGGAGAGCACCGGCCGGCGACGCAATTTTCGTCGTTCAACGGCGAGAAAGACGGCGATGGCGAGCGATCCGAATGATAACGCTGATGACGATGCGACTGGTGGTGATGCTGCTGCTGTTGCTGCTGCTGCTGATGGTGGTCCTGTTGATATATACGCGGCAGCGAATGATGCTGCGACATCGTCTGACTAACGCCGGCACGCTGATGACGCTGCAGTTGTTGATGATAGTGATGGTGATGATGATGGTGATGATTGTGATGATGATTTTGAGGAGGATGATGATGCTGATGACTTTGAGGGTGGTTGTACGGTTGTCGGTGACGAGGACGCGAACGTTGTTGCGGCGGTCGTGTCTGTTGAAACTGTTGTTGCTGAGGATGGCCGCGAGCCACTTCCCTTGTTGATCCTAGCGCCTCCTCTTCGTGATTTACTCGCCCTCCTCCTCCTCCCGGAACAGGTACGTGGACCAGTACGCGAGGTTGAAGAATGCGAATACGATTGGGAAGAAGATCCGTGAGATAACGTCGATGCGCTTGGACCTCGTCGGGAACTTGGACAGCCACGACCTGCAGCAGTTTTTTTTCCGTGGTTGCATATGTATTTCGCACTGCCGCAATTTATCCATCGACATGGAATCCTCCGGGTGTCGAACCAGAGGCTTCTGAAAGAATTCGGGCGACATTGATTCATTAGTTACTCGCACTCCTTTTCCTCTAATTCTCAATTCGAGCATTTTCGACTCTCTCCTCTTTGCTAAATGAGAAAAACTAATTCTATCATCTTATTTTTCCTATCTAAAAATTTCAAATTTTCCTATCTAAATTTTAAAATTTCCTATCTAAAATTTTTCCTATCTAACAATTTTAAATGTGAAAATGTTTGAGAACAAACTCGACACGTGAAAAATTTAGATTTTCAAGTTCATTTTAGACGATCCAACTAGCGACAAAATTCGAGACGGAAATCTATAATTTTATTACCGCATTTTTTCTAATATATCTGATTTTAACATATATATAAAATATTACAAAATTATAAATAAAATTTTGATCTAAATTCGTCGCGAATAATAAATCTTCTAAAGCGGACAACATTTCATTTAGAAAGATTCTGAATTTTCAATAATACTTTTTCTCGTAACGAAGCAAGTTGGGTAAGATTCCAACGGAGGAACATTCGACCGAAAATAGAAGTTCTCGTAAAAGCACGACGACCATCTCTATAAAGCATCTCGAGCGTGCCCGGAATCTCGAGAAACATATCGTATATATATATCTCTGTTCTTGGCATACTGACCATGGCGAAGTTGGCGGATCCGTCCGGCTCGAGCAGCTCCGAGGATGGGTCGATCGACGACGAATGCTCCATCTCGCTCGGCGGGAACTGCTTCTTTATGTTGTCGCTGTGCATATCGCTGCGCGACGCGTAGTTGACCAACGCAAATTCGAGTAGAGCGCCGAACACGAAGGTCAAGCACACCCCCGTCCAAACGTCAATGGCCTTGGTATAAGAGACCGGTGGCAGTGAGGCATTTATCCCTGATGTCTGCGTGGCCATCGTCAGTAGTGTCGTAACGCCTGGAAACGGACACATGTCAATGGATTTCTTTGATGATAAGAGAATGAGAAGAAGAAAAAGTATTCGAAAAAATATACAACACAATTATAAGTTTTTTCTTTTTTTTTTTCAGAATCATTAATCGTTACATTCATTGCTTGTGTATTTTGACAAATGATTCATTTTGATCCTCGATTTTTTCCAGCGCGCATTTGGCTTTTCTAGCCTTGTTTAAAATTGTTTTATTCTTCTACGCAAATTTGAATTCTCGAAAATCTACTTTGATTTCTATCTCAATGATTATATTTCATTTCTTGTTACCAATATTGCACTCGGCAGCTTTTGTAATTCTATACTTTTATTATTATCAAAGAGCCGCCAATAAATATGTAAATGCAATCAAAGTTTCTGGGCTGTCCGATAACATGCCTGGAGGACATGTTCGCCGCGCGTTTAGATTAACTGTAATAATTTGTACCTAGTGACACTCGGGCAGGCACGGCGCTCTGATCCAGCCAGAAAGACACCCAGGACACGATAACGAGCATGCAGCACGGGATGTAGATTTGGATGAGATAGTAGCTGAATTCCCTCTTGAATAGCAGGTCCACTTTCAAGCAACTGTACTCTCCTGTTTTTTTTTTTTCGTCCAATAATCTCATCAGATTAAGCGAGTTTTCATCTAATGTATTCTAAATGCAACAGCGATTCTACTTACCGGTGTTCGTTTTACTATTGCAGTAATCCGTGAGAAACTTCTCCAGGGTGAACCTGGGTAGGTGTAAATTCTTGACCACTTGAACGGGATCGCCTTCCTTCCAGAGAAAGACCAAGTCGTCCGTCGTCCATCCGTCTATCGGAGAAGAGGGAGGGGAAAATAATTATTATTCCGCGAGTATAAATTCTCAAAAGTAATTATTATTCCACGAATTTTCTCGGTAACGAGGAAGTAATACCAATTATTGCGCGCGTAATCGCGCCAGTAACATCTGTTACAGCAAGTTACTTACAACTGGCCATGCGAAGTGAGCAAACTTGTCGGTCCAGGGGATACAGTTTCAGATTCATGGGACAGGAAAGCGTCAAGGATATCCTGCGTCAAAACAAAATAGATTCATATAATGCTTCGGCTCTAAAAAAATCCAATTCGCAGTATAACGAGAACGTGTTTGATTGCACACGGTACACAAGATAGATCTCCCTGGTGTGTGTACATTAGCGAAGCGAATTTCACAACATTCAATTATATGGAGAATGAAACGCGTGATGGATAATGTATTCTGGTTTATATCGAAGCGACGTGATTTAAATATCAATCTGATAAACTTGTTGAAAAAATTCTGCGTTCAATGTTTATAAAGAAAAAACACTCGATCGATCTCTTATAAAAATTACGTCAGCTTGATTAAATCGATTTTGACGAATAAAAATTACGTCATCCTGATTAAATCGATTTTGGCGAACGCTATACGATACTCACCGTATGCTGTAAAGAACCGAGCCATTCGGAAAAATTCGTATATATACGTTGGGCATAATGATGTTGTGGAAATGACCTTCCTTTTCGTTCGAGAAAAACAAATCCGGCATCCAAACCCTCGACGCCTCCGTAAGAGTTAAATATTTAAGTCGACCTGCAACGGACAGTCGATTTTCAGTTCATGAAAAATCGGTGTACCTTGAGTCGCTCGTTAACATACAATTCGCGGTAAACACATAAAGAAAAACGCGCAATTTAGAAAAGAGAAGAGATAAAAGTAGCCGCTGTTAAAATTTGCGTAACGATCATTGCGCGTGAAAATAAAATGTTATGACTCGCCCTTTACGCGATATAGAGAAAAAAATATAATATAAAAATGCTCTTTACATGTAGAGATTCTCGTATATGATATTAAAGATACTTTGACATTTGGCCAAATTAAAGGGGAATGAGATTTCGGTCGAGCTCTTTTAATTTTCCACCGCAAAATGTTTGGAAAGAAAATATTATATATAGAATACATTGTATATATTCAATGTATAAAACTCTATTATACATTTTCATGTAGCAGCTAATATATTATTCTTACACTCGGAATATCATATTACATTCGTTGTTTCTACTTTTATTATGAAATCTTCATTAGCATTAAAAAATATCGATCCTAAAAGTATCTCGCGCGAGAACAATACAAATTAAGCATAAGTATAAAATATTTTATAAAAATTTACAAACCTCCAAAGTCATTAAACCGTAATCTCTCATCCAACCATTGTTCCCGAAATGTTAATTGTACGGAGTATTCCTAGAGAGAAAGAAGAAAAATTGCGATTAAACAGAGTCCCGCGTGAGACGGCGGCGTGTTGTTTCCTTTTCTCCTTCGACACCCGCGCGAGCGATAGTTTTCCCAATTATAAAGTTTCGTAAAGTAAAGAAGAACCAACGTGCGAGATGAGAAATGAAAAGCGGCAAAAGTCTAAATCGCCAGAATCTCGAATCAGATAGCATTTATAATGGCAGTCTATATTCACGAAAGAAGAAAATAGATATTATGCAAATGATGGTTTTGCATTTAACCAAGAGACCACGATAATTACAATTTTATTTTTAACCTAATAATTATTATTCCCAGAATAATTTTCCCCGGTGTATTTATCAGTAAGCTCGACGCGATGGGGAGACTTAATAAAGTTGAATAAATGAGAATTTATTTGTTATATGTAATCATTCTTTTCTTTCTAGAGATTCGATAAAAATATATTTTTGTATTAAAAGAAAAAAAATTATTCGCACGTTTCGTGATACAAAGAGAATTTCCTTCTACCCTTATAAATGTGAAATATTATTACAAAAATTGATCGTCAAATTCTTACCGTAAAATGATGATACAGATATGGATAATAAATTATATTGAAAGTAAAGAGATATTCTTAGATCGAGAGAGAGAATGTTCCGCTATTTTAATTAATATAATTTTGCATCTGTCAACTTATTATTAGCTCGAGATACTCATCACGTTAATTGACAATTTTAGCAGAATGGAAAAAGTAACGTAAACTATTGTTCCGATTATTTCTATGTCAGAATACTCTACATGATTTTAATTCACTAAAGATCTTTAATCTACTAAAGATTAACGAGATCAGCAACATTCGTCGATCCACATCTGCGAGATTAATCTCTCTTGGAGTCATCGCGATCGAAGTTGACTCGTCACGGATCGAGCCGGTACACGTAGATAAGAGAACATCACATTTTATCCAACGCGATATGTCGATCCGTGACGACTATCTATCAACCAATACATACATGTGTCGAGAAATGTATCATCGCGGCAGAAGGTGGGAAGAGCGTCCCGGGAAGAGAACGAAAATACTCTCGTTAATGCATTATTGAGACCTACATGAGATATACATCCGGGGACGCTTTTCCGCCAGAAGCGATCATGCGATTTCGAGGGCGTACAAGCATCGACATAACATCGGCAAACGGACGGCCGGTCTGTCGGTTAAAAATATACTCCAATATACATCGCGCAGCCAAGAAGTGAAGGAGAAGGAGGACCTCGGAGAGGAAGAGGGAGGAAACAAGGTGTGGACGAGAGCCATGCAAAAGCGAACACCGAGAGGAGGACCTACCGGATATCGTAATCAGATCAAACGCCAGAAATGTCACGGGCACTACAACGCAATCTGTTTAAAGCGGTAAAAGAGAGAAGGCATGCAGTTTGGCTCACGGTGTCTCGTGTTTCCCCGGCTCGCCTGCGATCGTTCCTGCCCCCGGCGACGAGGTCCCGTGCCCTGTTTCCTATTTCAGAGAGGGTAAAGGGGGAGCGCGCGCTTCCCCGTCCTATATATATACATATATATGTATATACACATATGTATATGTTTCCTTTTTATTTTCCTTTCTTCTCGCTTTTTGTTTTCCCTCGACCTACCGACCGCCAATTTGTATCCTTCGTGCGGTGCAGTTTCGCTACGGTGTTTTTTTAACGCGAAAACATTAGGCTCCGTTCCGCTGGCCCTTCTCTTCCACCTCTTTTCTCTGTGTCGTGGTGCTAGGTTCCGCTCCAAGAGCGACTTCACATTCGTGTGTGCGTGCGTGCGTGTACATATGTGTATGTGTATGTGCGCGCGCGCGTTTCGTTCTTCGCTTTTCTCTTATTAAGTCGTCTAATAACGTCTGCTTTCGTCCTGTCGTTAATTTCTCTCAGCGACTAGCGGCCGATCGTATCCATTCGTACTCGCACGTATTTAATGTCGGCGGTAAGCTTCTGAAAAATTGAGAAACGTGCCGCCAAACGAGGATTCAGCGGCCGCCTTCCGTTCGTTTTCGCACACGACGCGTCGCTTTTTTCGTTTTCTCTTCTACCGATACATCATTACACAGAGGAATACGTTAAATATCGTTTGAGAGATGCCGGTTTGTACTTCGGGGTACTTATCCTTCTCGTGTGTAACTCGACGAGCTATCCTAGGAACTGTAAAACAATATTACCGCGACCACGAGATGCGTTTTTATATTTTTCTCAAGCTAAAAACGATCGCTTTTGTTCGTATGAAAAAAAAATAGTGCGCATAAAATGACGTCATAGATATACGGACTCGTCTATCATACGTAGCCGTCGGAATAGGCGAAATATAAATCAAGTTGTTTCATCGAATAGACGTATACTACTAGCTTATACAGAGCTCTATGTCGACCGCCACGAAATAAATCGCCACCAGCGTGGCAAGATTTTTTGACGTTCAATTTGATAAAAGTCGACAATAAAATCTAAAACGAGAAATTCTGAAGAAATCTGAACCCACGTCTTTTTCGGAAAACTAACTCGAATTGCGAGGCACACATGGAACGAAATAAAAAATGTGTGCAATTTGTGGAGAATTTGTACATCCTTTACAGCTCCTATCGAAGGTATTGAAAAACAATCTTTGAATTATTTCATCGAATATTTCGCATCATCGAATAGATTTATATCCAATGATGACGACGATAAAATTATAAATATCGATAACAGTGAGATATACATATCAGGGGAAGGGGGGCGGGCTTTGTACAAATTTTTGCCATACAAAATCTACATACAATGAATATCTTAGTCTTACGCTATACAAGAACAAGTGCAAAGCATCCATAAAATTATTTTAGTGTTTTCTATATTTAAAAAAAGAAGAAAGAAAGAAAGGAAGTATAACCGCAGTCCTCGAATTTACGTCCAACAATCCTCGCCCATAAGATCTGATATTACGGCGAGACGCACAACGAATTCCTGATTCTGTTGCACCATAAACATTGTTACGCGCGTAACAGCTGAGACTCGTAATTTTTCATTGGCTCTTACCTCCGGTAAAGCCATTGCTCCAGATAGCCGTTGGGCTCTTTCGCGAGCGAAATTCTTGAGTTACGTGCAAAGGCGGTACGTTTGGCGTTTAGCCGGCCATTTGGCGTAGTTTTTCTTTTTCTTTTTTTTTTACGTTGATCGTCGCGGAAATGGCGATAGTTACCGTCCCCGGAGAATCGTATGGGATATTTTTAATGTGTCTGGGATATATAGACTGCTCGAAGGAGCACAACTCGATTACGCGAAGCGACGAAAGGATAATTGGTCTCGAGTCTCGATCTCTCACGTGCAAAATGGGTCGTTTGAGCGACGAAAAAGTATACATCGTCGTCCTTATTGTTCCGACAATTGTCCTGATGGCAATGGGATAATGGGATAACGTCGCGAAAAGTACCCCCGCAAACCCTCTACAAACCGCATTAGCTTTATTTCTTTAACACGTTCACAGTGGAAAAGATTGGTGTGATTTTTATTTGTTGATCGATGTTAAAATATATATTTCTTTCTCGTTATCAATAATAATTATTATAAAACATGTCCAGTTTTATAGTTGACGTCATCATAAATGTACTAAAATAGCAAACGAAATGTGCGATACACAATTATTGCCGAGTGAAAGGAAAAAAAAAATAATTGCGAGTGAAAAACATCTCGAATTACATTTTTGCACGTTTAAATTATTTTAACAAGAAACAATTATTTTTATACGCCAATCGTTAAAACTCTTCGATCCGCCATCGTTATGTATTATTTGTCAATTTTATTGTCATAGAGGGTTTGCTAAAAAAATGAAGGGTCAATACTGCCAATCAGCTCGCTCGGCGATTCGTCCGTTTCTCTCACCGATGAGCAGCCTCACGTATTGAATTTGGTCTCGCCCAAGTGACGCAATCTGTTTCTTCATGTGCTCTTTACGGAGAACGGGTTTTGAATTTTCGCTCTCGTATCGCATCTTGGACGCGTATCGTACAAATTACTTCGCTATTACCATCATATCTTTCAATATATTTACTCGCAATAGAGCTCTAACAGACGACATATCATTCCCACGCGAATTTCACTCCCATCCTTTAGTTTTTCGACGATATACATTCGTTCAGTCAACAAATATTTGTCGGGATAAGCGATACCGAACGTGCTCGCGTACTTAAATGAGAGCGTGATACAGAATGAAAGAGGGGACAGCGAAAAAGATGGAGAGACAGAAAGATAAAAAGAGGAGAGAAGACGAAGACAGAAAGGAACAGAGCGGAATTCTTGCAGGGCCTAAAATTGAACCGACCGACTTCTCTCGCGATATTCTTGCCGCCATACGATGAATATATGTATATACGTACTTTCGATTCAATGATTACGAGCGTATGATGTCCGAACGACGAAGGTAGGGAGAAGGATATGCATATGTGAACAAGTATCCTTCTGTCGTATGATGCTGGCGCAAGCGTTAACGAGTCTCTGAATCGTCGAGGCAGAATACTGGCCAATTATCCGAGGTTTCGTATGACGGCCGGAGACAGGAAAATTGATGATTGAATCGCGAGTTCGAGCAGAGTCGTCCATGACAGGTTCCTCCCAAAACTGTATTTGGCAGGTATCAAAGTGAATCGACAGAGGAGTGAGAATGGTGCGACCCTTGCCGCAAAGAGTCATCGTACATATGTAACGCGCCGAATGTCACGTGAAAAATTAATCGTTCATATTTATTTTATCCCTTCGTTCAATTGTTGCCTTATATGATAAATTTTTCCCTGAGAAAAAAAATTTTATCGCCTTTTAAAGAACGCGATAAAGATCGCCCTCCATTCTCACTCGACTCTGGAGAAGTCGAGCTTCACTTTCATATTATAATTTATTTATGGAATCCCATCTCGGAATTCTAAGGACACTCTCGGTCTTATGAAGAGACAATTTTTTGCGCGCGTTGCAAGATTTATTTTTCAACGAGCGGGCAAATCCCG